TACAGAGGACTCCCCTATTCTCCTCGTCCAATCCCTTCCCCCCACATCTCTTACCACCGTTCTGTCACCTCCATCACCTGCTATGTCATATCAGCGCCACTCATCTCCCGGCCAGTCCTCACAGGGTTCAGCTTCTCGCCGAAGATTGTGTTCTGTTGTCATCACCCCTCCCTCATCACGAATCCAGCCTTCTTGTTCCTCTACAGCAAAGTCTCCAAGAAGCCCTTGCCTCACACGTGGACGGCCCCACTGCAGTTCACGTATATCTGCTCCCCCTTCTGCTGGATTGTCTCCTGTGATTACCAACTGGACCATGGCAAGCCTTCAGAGAACACTACGAAAAATATGGTGTCGGATTTAAAAGAAATGCTTCCAAAAAAGCTCTTGTTTTCGTTGTATCTATCTGCAGTCTACAAATAAGCAAACTTCAGCTCTACAGCATTCCCCGGCGCCCTCTGATGACGTCACCCGCGCCGCTGGTCTCCCTCCTAATACAAGGACCCCGAGGCTGCCCGCACATCTGCCTGTTGTGTTTTGTCGTGCTATATCTTTGTCTGCATCTCTTCCTCAATCAATCCATACCTTTTCTGGGCAACTGCACCCAGCTTCTTCCACCCAGCCTCATTCTCTAAACTCCATGCTGCCGATTCTAAGGCCCCAGGTCCACGCCCCTCCCCCACACTCTTCCTCTCTGTTTAATTTAATTTCTGCATTCTCCTCTGTCTTTGCCTCTGGTGACCAACGTGGCCCAGGTTCCACTGGCATGGTACCTTTGGCCTCGGTTTCTTCTCTTCCACCCCTGCTGCTCCTGCTGCTGCTTCCATGGCCCCGAGTTAATCCAGCAAACTACTTTCAGCACAGCCAGCAGGTAGCCCTCACCCTCCCCCACCCCCTGGCTTCCAATATAACACGGCAGCCTCCTCCTCCAGCCTACACTCCTGCTCCAGTTCCTCCACACCATTCTTTGACTTCTATCCCCCAAGGCACTGAACTTATCTGCTTTCTTATCTTTTTCCCTCCTAAGCTTCTCCTATTCCTGGATTCCAACCCTGTATCAGTCATCTCATGCCTTCGGCCCTGGATTCAAATCTCTCTGCCCACTCTACTGGTGCCTGGGCACCAGGTGCGTCTGGTGTCCTACCTCAGGCCAAGCCAACGGGCGTCTTACTAAATCTTTTGTCTCTCCTATCCCCTGGTGTCCAACATAGCTCAGTGGCAGCTCCAAGAATCCAACCTTTACCTTCTACTTCTTCCAACTGACTGTTCCCTCCTGCACCACCTCCTAGTCACACTCCTACTTCCATCTCTCCTGCCCCATCCACCAGGGACTCTTCTCTCCGAACAGCTGTTCCTCTTCCAGCTCCTCCTAACGCACTAATGTTTGGTCATCCCCCCTTTCCTCTCTCACTCCGGCAGCAACTTTTACGTCAATCTAGCTCACCTCTCTTCCTCCACCTAAAACACCTACTCTAGAACAGACGACTATGGCACGATCTCCGTTACTCTCAAATCTTCCAATCCTTACTCCGTTCTCACAATTTCTGATTGTTTTCTGAGTAAATAACCCCTCATAATTGACCTGTCAACATCACATAACTCCCGCATGCCAAGTGTCAATAGTCTTATTCCCAGCTCCGACTTCTCCCTGCATTATGCCACGATTGACCATGCCTCGCTCATCGAAAAGAGTGTCCAGGTGCCTGGCTTGCTAAGGGCTGACATCTCTAGAGCCTTTAAGGTGATGCCTCTCGACCCAGACTTCTGGCACCTCTTCGGTGTTTGCTGGCGGAATGAGTTCTTCTTTGCAGTCCACTTAACTTTCTGCTGCAAGAGTAGCCCAACATTTTTGACACCTTAGCTGAAGCTCTCTGCTGGATCCTCTTAAATAACTACAGTACAAGCTTGCCTTTCCGTTTTACGCCTCTATCCCGTTATGTGCGACTTTGCACCTTTCCAGAGCTTCACCTACCGATCCTCTGTTCGTAAACGAGAAGGGCCTTATTGTGACCCTTGGCTGGTTTCTCTTTCACCTTCACTAACTGCTGGATTCTCTCCTGAACAATTCTCTGGTCATTCCTTCAGAACAGGGGCTGCTTCCTCTGCTGCTTGTCAAGGCATCCCAGAGTATCCCATCAAACAACTCAGCCGTTGGTCCTCGGCGGTCGATCATGCATAAATTAAAACAAACCCTGATATCCTCAAGCAAGCATTTTCTCTCCTTGGGTGAAGTAGTTCAATGATCATTGTTTTTTTGCACTGGTAATTGGGGTCCCTCTTGGTTCTTTTGGGGGTTCTATCCTTCCCGTCCAACAGCTGGTAGGTTGGCCTTCAATCAAACAGGTTAAGTCAACTCTTCGCATCTCAATAATCAATTCTGCTTTCTCTCAACCTTCGGCTGCTGTCATTCCTCGTGAAATTGAGTTGTTAATGAAAGTTTGGGAGGAATGAAGGCAGTCAAGCTCATTAAGCTCAGCTGCTGCAAATTCCCACTAATTCTGACGTAAGCAATCAGTCTCCATATACAGTATACCAAACGTCACCCTCTCTTCTCCCTTGCTTGTTTGCGGGAGCCCAATTGGTTGCATGGGGGTCCTATCCTCCCCGTCCAACGGCCGGGAGGTTGGCCCTCAGCCAAGCGCGTTAAGCCAAGTCTTCGCATCTCAATAAACAATTCTACTTTCTCTCAACCTCCGGGTGCTGTCATTCCTCGTGAAGTACATCTTACACCTCATCATTACATCAGTTTGCCTCTGCACATAGTTCATTTGGAACAGTATACTGTAGATTTCTTTTCTATTAAATACAAAAAGCAATCATGCGTATTGTGAAATTTTAACCCATAATATTTGAAGGAGATTGGGGATGTAAATGTTAGATCTTTGGTCCATCAAGGAGGAATTGCTGAATAGAATAAAATAAAACATTTAAAAAAATGTTACAGTAGGCTGAGAGTGTGTGCTCCTTATAAGGATTCCTGTCTGATTCTAAATTCTTTCTTATGCTATTTCTCCTCAGAGCAGAAGTAGACAGAATCTCCACTGATGAATGTTACATTCAGACACTTTAATAAAGGAAGACAGTGATATTGCTTGAGAAACATCATGTAAGATAGGACACAGATTTCTGAAATCCTCTTGCATTACATCTGGGAAGTCTATACTTGCTATGTACTGTAAATGAAACTGAACTGCCACTAATTGTACAAATATAATTAATTGTAAAAATTGAATAAAATGGTCATATTTATAATTTGTCTTCTGACTTCAATGCACTTCAATAGCTTCAAATACATTTGCAGGTGCATTTTTTGTGTACTTCTGCATAAGGTTTTAAATAAACAGCTGCAACACCTATTTGAAGATGACTTTTCAGTTGAGGTCTTTTTTCTTCGGACAGTTGTCTTGCTAAGGCAGCACTGCACACATATACCTAAGCATTATCATGTATGGTGATTTTTCAGTCTGTGCATCACAGCTGTGAGAGAGGCGGTATCTAAATTAATTAATAATAATAATTAATAATATTTAGGCAGCTATGCTTTTTCCCAACCCAGCAAATGCATTCTGTTTCACCGAAGACTTGCACCAGCATATTCAGTGTCCTTTTTCACGACTCATCTTTTAGCTGGACATGCATTTGAGGCCACCGTTTATTTAAAATAATAATTTATTTAAAATTATTTGATTTTAACTTTACCATCTTGATGTTTACTACAGTACGCCTGCCGCCTTAGACTCAAAAGTATGAAAATAAAGAAATAATTAGATTCTCTATATTAAAATGGTAAATGTTTTGCAATTTGCAGTTTTGCTTCATTTAAAATATATTGGTTTAAATTAATTTCCTTGTATTGGCATATATATACACTTTATATACTGTAATGTGGTGCTACATCATTCATGTTAAAACGGTAATTTGAAACCTTAACACGTATTTGAAATGTGATTAGCCTTCAAAAAGCAATAAAAGCAGAGTACTTCACAAATTTGTGACTGTGGGTGCAGCACGACTTTCTATGCTCTACACTTAATATGCGCTTAAGGTTTGCTTCATGTAGGAAGGCTGGCGGATTGTCTTGCATGTCTCACACGTCTGTTCCTATACTTCCTTTTGCATCAGCAGCTATAAGGGAACCATTCTGACAAGCTGCTGAATTATACCAGTACACTGGCCAGAAAAGTAAGCACTGCTCGTCTCTGGGAAAAGCAAATTCTGAAGAACAACGAACAACATTTTTTTAAATTTAATATATTTAGGAATCATTTGCGGAATACACTTCCCAGCACGAAGATAAAGACATGTATTTAGTGGAATTGACCAGGGTAAAGTCAACCTGTCTGACAGATTTAGCTCACAATTGCTTTCCATTAATAACTTGTGAGTTTCTTCAATAAATAAATGTTGCCCAACTTCCAGTTTTAGATAATAAATATAGATGTATGTGGTAGCACATTTTGTACTTTTTTAATGTGATTTAGCATTTTTGTCTTGAATGTACCCTTTATGGCAGAACTCATGATAAAGATCCTACATCATTGGCTCACTGATGATGACAATAATATAATAATAATAATAATAATAATAATAATAATACATTTTATTTATTAAATATTGGAGTATTTCGAAATTGCATTTGTAAACAGGTAAAACCAGTAATAAATCAGATAATACATTTTCTATTAAAACCAGGTTTTAACATTTTATATTAAAAATCAGTAAAGAACCCCAAACAACTTTGTGAGTTGAAGTAGGCTTAAAAAATGTTGGAGAGTCTCTAACACATTTGAGTAATGATTTCCACAGTTACGGAGCTGCATGAAAGAAGGTTCTTTAGCACATTACATTATGTGGAACCTGGCTTTTGGCAGAATATGAAAAGATGAGTTGCAAAATTAAAGATCATTTGGTGCCTTAAATGCAAGCAACATTTAAGACCTTAAATTTAAGACCTTAAGACCCTTAAGACAAAGGAAGCCAACACAATATAGAGAGGAACAGAATTACTATCTCTGGGTAATTTTATTTAGCAAACAAGATGCAGGATTCTGGAATATACAGGTGTCTCTATACAACAATAAGGAATTACAGTGGTGGAACTACAGTACCTTTTCAATAGTTAGCATCAGTTTTCCTAATCAAGGAGTAACAGTATTATAAGGTTGGATAAAAGATACCTTGGTGAGTTTACTAACATGATGCTATACTTGAGCTTCAGGTATAACAGGGATTCTAGCTTCAGTCAATAATTTAATTTCAGTGCCATAAATGACACTGATGTCACACATGTTGTGTATCTTGCTGTTGTTAAGAACTAATAAAGATAATATATAAATAATCATAACATATAATTATAATTTATACTTAATATCAGATACAGTAGACAACAGTTAAGTGACGAAACTGCAGCAGTAGTATATTTAGAGCAACAGGTAAGATCATCTATCAATCTATCCATTTTCTAATCACTTCTTCCAGTTAACGATTGCATAGAAGTCAGAATCTATCCTGACAAGCAATGGGTGACTCACTTGCAAGTTTCTATTGCCACAGATGTGTAGTCTAGCTTGGTCAACAGCTTCACATTAGACAGCACCGCCAGTCTCCCACTTGTTCAAATGAGTAAGCCTGCTATTAACCATAGTACTTGATTCATGTCCATGCCTATACACCATTCTTTGGATTCAGTCAGTTTTGAAATGACACCCATGGTTTTCATGCGGTTGAGTTCTTCGTGGACTTTTGTTGCGGTGTGGACAGAGAATAAGGAGCGACTACCTCTTCACACTCAATAGCATAGTGCTCCATTGACCTGAGGAAATTCTCTTGAAAGCCCTAATGCTTCGTGAATCCTGCATACTGTTTCAATTGCAGATCAGCAATTGCTGAACCTGTTGTGTTGTGTGGATAGTTTTCATTTAAAGTATCCTTGAGCAACAACAATGATGTTTTCTGGACCATAAAGGACTTTGTTAGGTATCGGAAACTTGCATTTCATTGTAGCCAGTGTCAGACCTGATCTTCAGATACTGTGATCTTCCACTTTATTATATTTTATTCCAATTGTCCATTTTACGTGATACTGTTGTTATCAAGCATTTTAAAGGACAAAATGTAAAAAGTAGACACTATTGAGAGAATTGTTTGAAGGAAAAATGCAGTGTGTAGTACATTTTGTGTTAAAGTGTTGACAATGTATTATTGTTAAAAAATATATGTTTTATACATTGTAGGGGTTTTGTGAATTTACTGGGACAATTTATTAATTGTAGCAGTATTCACGAAATGATTCGTTATGGCTATTAGAAAATCAGTGGCGGATTCAATAAACGCGATACATTTATTAATAGATAAATTGTGCATATAAAAAAATAATAACAGTCTGCCTGGATACAGGTGGCAGATCTTACTGTGAAGGTTATCAAAATGCAAGGTATATAATTACAAAGAGATGCAAAACACAAAGAGATACAAAAAATATGCTTCACTATACTGTCTGACAGTTGGCGGTTCTGTCAAGATACTGCTCTGAATGGCATCTAATAAACATTTGATAATGTTGTTAAGTAATAGCATGGTCCATTTACTACTAGGTTATTGACTCTATATTAATGTTTTCTTCATTTATTAAGGATTTTAAGAATTTTACACTGTATATGAATTTGCAGTCCCTATATTGAAGTGTTTTTGACTAAAAGTTACGTGCATAACCAACCCAAAGAATTTAGACCAGGGGGAGAGACAAATCACTTTTACTGTTTTGAAATTCTCACCAGTGTATATATTACGAATCAGCTTATTCAGGATATCCTTTCTGATATGCAGATGACAGTCTGATACTGGGAAAGTGTTTTACGCCTTGTGAGTGTCACAAAACATTTCTGTTTCTCAACACTAATCCTGGACTACCCAGCACTTTACAGTAGGTAAGCAAGACCAGGACTAATTCTGATTTGGGTCTGTATAACTTGTTTTCTAACGCACTTTGTCTCACACCCCTTTGATTATGAGAACATTAAATGTTGAATGAGAACTTTGATTTCTTTCACTTAACAAGCAGGGATTAGCCATATGAATTTGATGAAGGTCTGATGACATTTAAGTTTGCTGTATAAGCAGAATTCAAGTAGACAGCATTAGGGATGGGTTTTCAAATTTTGTGGGATGTTTAACGTCACTGCTTTCCTGAATTGCCTGGATAGAAAAATATCTAAAAAATACTGAATATCTAGAAAGATGTTTTGTAGGCACTACAGAAATTAATGTTTGGATATGCTTTGCAAGAAGTTAAAAACTTCTTCAAAGATGCCAAATTATAAGATTATCCAAAATTACACTGTATGAATGAAATTACATCGTTATACAGTAGCACTGTATTCCGTGGTCAAAAAAGAATTTTCACCCTATCTTCCAGTGTAAATCTCCCAGTGGAGTATGTATTACCATTATTTTCTTTTTTTTAAAAAAAAGGAAGTGCAGCGCATATTGGGAGTTATTCAGCATGAATAAAAAAAACTTCAATTGAAATCTCTGAAAATAAGGACACCTTCATTCACATTGTGCTATTAGGCTTGTACATTTTGAAAGTTTGCATAACTGTAGGCTAAAGTTTTTTTCCCAAACTAAATCTACATTTCCATAGAGCTTGTCATACTTTTTTTTTAATTCGCCCAAATACAGTTCTATAAATCCACTGAAATGGAAATGCTCTAGACCAGAGCAGTTATGACAAGAGCACAATCAATGACTAAGAAAAATGATACAATACCGTGCTCTATAGAGTGCTTGAGGCAGAAACATTTTCATTTCCCTAAATCATAAAGCCAAAATAAGGCATCATGGGAAGAAAGGGAGGAAACTGAGTGGAAAGTCATGCTTTAAAACAGGAGATACTCACAGGGCTAGGTAGGCACTTCGTAACTTTCTTAGTAATGCATAACTAACACTGTACATGGGTTTCATGTTTTACTTACATGTACAGTATTAAGCCATTTCCTAGCAATCAGCAAACTTTCAGTTATACGACAGAAATATCCTGTAAATAGGTGTCTTCTAATTTGAAATGTTATTCTTTTCCGGAGGGGGAATTATGACTTGATTTTGTAATTGGCAGTGGTGAAGGAGAAGTGCAAACGAGAAACTCAGTGGAGCACTTCAGCAGGTCTCACAATAATCCACAGACAATGGGACTTTATTCACACAAGGTTTCTTTACAGAGGTAGAACAAAATACTTTGTATATATATTTTTTTGTGTTTCTGTACATATAATTTTTAATTAAAAATACGTAAAGACAACTGGGTAAGATAATCACCTGAAAGATGGACAACAATTGGAGAAATTGGTCTTCAGAATCTTTACTAGGGAAACATTAAATTATTTAATTTCTCTTTATCATCATTAAAACACTGTTAAATGTGCAGCTGCATAAATCTAATGCTCATAATGGTATGTTTCACCCTTGGTTTGTGGAAAGTGCTTCATACCTTGTGCAACTGTAAAGTGATTAACATGCGAAGGGTGTATGCTGGGAAGCACTCTGGAAGCATAATTTGCAACTCAGTGCCATAAAGATTTAGACTTTTCATTATGAGGGTGTTCTTTAAGTAAAAGAATCACAATATATGAATATATGCTTTCAGTCGTTTTAATCAGTTCTGTATGTTGGTTGCTTTGCCAAGCTTTTCAAAATGCACGACAGTGAACAACTGTCTTTAGTTGAAAAAAGAAAATCCTTGGGCAAAAAGAAAAAAAAAAAACAAGAGCATAGTATACTTGCCAAGCTCAGCTGAAATCTTTTTACTATTAATGTACTGGCTTCACACAATCAGGCACTGACGAATGTCACAGAATCAGTTGTACGATTTACATTTCAAAAGAGGAACCCAAACATCATGGCCTGGCAATGGCTCTGCTACGTTATTTTGGCAAGAGCTTCTGTTTCTGAAACAATCCTATCCCCTTTTTGGACTTCAAACGGGTCAGTGTAAAAGAGTCACAAACCTCGCCATCTCAAACAAGAGCCTCTGAGAATGTCTGAGCAAATGTTAGCTGAATAACCACATTGCTGTTGAGTGTGGATAAGCCTTTTGAGATAAAAGACCTTCAATCAAACTTTGATCTCAGCAGAAATGAGTCGGGCGAGCTCACTTCATTCTGTGGTGGACAGGAAAGCTGGATCAAAGCAACACACGTGAAAGTGATGTTATAAATGCAAAGCCTTCACACAAACGGAATCGGTGTCCATGATTTTTGTTCTTACACAATACGTGCATGAATGATAGACTAAGGTCTTGAGTTTCCTGGCATCATCAAACTTTACACTTCACTAAAATAAGTGACGTCAATTAATTTGGAGGATGAAAACAGCTGTATATGGAATAATCCTAATACGAGGAAGAAATAATAATTGTTCTATAGAATTCCCTCACCTGCACATAAATACTGGCCTTCTACATTAGGCCATGCACCGAGCAAAAAAGAGACAGATGTGTAGTTAGGCATGTTTGTGTGAACTCCACTTTGTGCTTAGTGTTTCGTTATAGTTGCAATTCCTCAAGTCTAATCATTTTAATGTGGGAAGGCTATGCATGAAATAATAATGAAGCATACAGTAACTCATTCATAGGGTATTAGTGGTTACTTACAGCTTGCTTTTTCCAATCATTATGATTAACATTTTTACGGATCTGTAAATTTGTGTGCGTGCTGACATTAGCATAACCAGTAAGCTGAAATTTTGTCATGCATCATTTCTTTTATGTCCAAAAACAAGATAGGATGGTTTGAACAATTAAATTGTGCCTTCTGGTTACATAAGAAAGTATAGTGTTACAGGAAAGGTACCCTGAACTGAGAGATCATTAGCATTACAATAGATTCTTTATAGCATCTGTGTACTGCTTTGTCATTGACGTGAAAGGAAAACAGACAACTCGTATACTGTACATGGAGATGATAAAGGGTGATTGAGGACATTGAGCTACGGTCTCAACAGCTTCACTAAGACTGACAAAACAGTGATAGTACCCTTAAGAACTGTGTGGACCAAAATTTCAAGATGATCAGTTGCAGCACACTAGTCTTAAAAGTAAAATGCGGACAACACTAGCAGACTGACAAAACAGTCAACATTTATGATTTGTCTCAAGGAATTAAGACTATTTACAGACAAAGACTTATTTTATTTTTACAGACACCAATTTCTGCAACAGCAGCATAGAACAAATGTTGAAGATCTAAACATTTAGAAATACTAGCTGTAGATTTACGCACATGACTTGAGATTTCTATCATGGGCCACACTAAAGAAATATTTAGAGTGGGTCTAAAGTAAAGCAAAAAAGAATGTGAAGATATTTATATTGCTTATACTTTTAATTATTACTCAACTGTCTCTATTTACTGTTACAATTGATTGAGTGCAGGCGTGGCTGCTACGTTTTCCACATTTTTATACTTCTGCAAAACTAATGTTACAGTACATCAATATAAAAATCACATTAAACTATTAAGTTTTCAATACCTCCTGCTAATTGTACGGATACATCACTAAACAGTCAGTATTACTACAAACTCAATAACATACCGTACAGGAGTACAGCCAATCCTCATATATTTGAAAATGGAAACCCAGATTCCTTTTCAAGCCAATAAAATTCCCTGAAGTTTCCCTCATGACAGAAATAGATGGTGTGACCCAGACCACACAACACACACTCCACTGTTCTAGAATTGAAATGTTTTTCTTTAATTTCTTAACTATTCGTTTTTCAAAGAACGATGCTTCATATGTTTTTGAACGGTTTTTATCAGTACTTATTTATTTATATATATATATTTTGTCTGGAAACGACTTCTAACGGATTCCAAGAAAAAAAAAAAGAAGCTACACGGTTAAGATCAGGTCACAGTTTCTCATACAACATTCACAAAGACCGAGAGGAGAAACGAAAGGAGAGGATCCTGGGGGGACTGTGCGCCGCTCCGAGCTCTCACTGTGGAAGAGCTTTGAGAATCGCATTCACCTCCTCCGCAACGGCTGTCAGAGCAAACTCAAACTGCTCCTGAGGAGGGAAGGAAAGGAGGGAGTTATCAGCGGTGAATCACGCGGTTAAAATCCACTGGCGGGCATTCGGCTACCTTTGAACAACTGGCCAGATTTTCTGTAACAGAAATGTGTGCCTGATGGTTCATCTTCCATCCCAAAAATCTTTTCTCCTCTCTTAGAATGCTCAATTCCCTGGTTCCCCCCAAAAGACCAGAGGGTGAAAAGTGCCTTACGTGCTTCATCTTGCAGTTAGTTTGGAGTGTGTTGAGGCAAAGGAAGGCAGATGTGTCTTTCTACCTAACTTTAGGACTGCAATTAGCATGCTTAAACTGCTTGCGAATTAATGAATTTGTGACTATTGCAAATCAAGAAGACATATTTTACTATTTTTTTAAACTTTAAAAAAAATTCTTAAATAAAACTGATTGCCTTAGGGGTTACAGTTATTACACAATGGATTTTGTTGGCATAAGTGCCACACCCTGTGCAGTGATAATGGGAGTTATGGTTGAACATAAGGGTGTTTTACGTTATACATGCGAATACATCTGGGTGCCGAACACTTGTGAAAAACATAGTGAAATTAACCCAAACCACCAATACACAAATTATTTGGAATATAAACCTCCAGTTTTGAATGACCGAACTTCTTCCATCTGAGGATCTATTCGGCTCCTTTGTTGTTCTCATGATAGGTTGGTTTATCAAACCTAATCATGATAGGTTGGTTTATCAAACCTAATCACTTGGGACTCTGGCCAGTTCATTTCTGGAGAGAAACCCGACGTGTTTGAATTTCACATCTGACTCACTGCATTCCCTGATAAATTCCAATGAAGACTGATTGGCTCATCTCACAATGACCTTGTGCTCGGGAAAGAAACTCTTTTAAGTCTCATTCTATGATTCATGCTGTAGGCCTGTATTTACAGCATGGTCATGCATACATAGGAAAAGGACCACAGAGAAGTTTGATAGCTGGCGAGATGAAAGCTACTTGACATTTTATCACTGTGTATTGAGCCAAAAAGAGTGAAACATGTTAAAGAAACAAACAAAACAAAACAAAACATATCTAACATTAAAAAAAATGCCATAAATGAAATATGGATACAGAATTGTTCTATAAATTATGGATGAAGGTAGGCTCATTTATTTTATATTTCACTGACACAGTACATCTGTCTTATGAGACATGTTTTCTATTTTACCACATGAATACAGTAATTTCAATTATTGAAACACAAATGATTAATTTGATTAACTCGAGTAGAAAATAGTAGAGGACAAAAACATAGCTGTTTCAGTTCAATATAAGCATGCTTTGCAGTACTCTTTTTCACTGTGTAGACTACACACATTCGTGAAATATGGTTATTTTCACCATAAAGTTAAGAACAATAATATTATTTTAATTGGGGTCATTGCAAAGAAGCTATAGGCAATAGTATTAATATGATCATTTCTTTATATAAGGTGTCTGTATTAAGTACTACCTGAATCTGTAGAATACATATTTTGTGGAGGGTTACAGTGCATACTGAATTATTTTATGCAGTAAAAATACACAGTTTGTATAGGGCACAAACAAAAAACGTCTTGATAAAAACAATATGGTATGTATCTAAATAGTGAAATTAATATGGATGACTATTCATTTCAAGCCAGTGCTTGAAAATTTAATTCAGCTTTGATGTCTGGAACACCTGTTCCAGCCTTAGAAGGTCCTAAGTGAAATTAAAGCTCAATTCGAGAGCTTCCACTAGGGGGAGCCAAATCACAAGACCAGAGGACATTAGCACGTTTGAAAATGTTACAACTTGTTTTAAATAAACTAAACACGGTATCTTATATAAAAAACATGTATCTATGGCTACAGTCTTGAAAACTGTTCTCATAAACCTTGACATATTTTCAGTACTTATTTTCAAGCTTCACTACTTACATCTACAATGTTGTAGGTGTTTGTACTGCTTACTTGTACACTGTTGGTCAAAAGCCAGATATGTTAAAATAAGAAGTTACAGCATGTGAAATTCTGAACACGAGCAACTGAATTTAATTGTGACAACTCTGATAAATATTATTTAGTTTAGGTTGGGTAAGAAACATCCAAGCCTGTCATTTAGTCTTAAATTCACACTAATCAGAACATTCGAAAACCTGGTCAAGATGATAACATTGAGAATTTGTAGTAACCATCACCTTCACAAATCAGATTTGTATGGTGTTCATCATAATTAACAAAACCTGTTGCTCTCGGTCATTCATAAAGCTAAAGGTTTTTGTACTTCAACATAATGATCTGTTAGTATTAATTGGTATCTTAAAATGGCTTAAAAAGGCTACAATTTCAAACTTCAAGAGCACAATAAAAAATGTACACAAACTTTAACATAGCATGGCATATCCTTGCTTCCTATTAAACACTGAAAAGCACTGTAGTCACTGACTCTTTACATTGTCTTACTACAAATTGGTTACTATGACTTTGTGTTTCACTGGACAAAATTAAAACAATCGCTTATAAAAAGCATTTCTTTCAAAGAACCGAATTTACTGAAACTGAGCAGGATAGAAAAGGAACCCCACCCTTCACCATTTTTTTCCTTTAAGATGTCAACATATTTTGCCTGTTCAAGACTATTCATTTTCCATCAAAACCAGGGTGATGATTTGAACAGGCAGTCAATTAATTATTATAGACACCCTCATCAATGTAACGGACATTATATATCCTTGAAAAAGCTCACCCAAATCATCATGAAGAGACAGATACAGTACATTCTCATAAATATGCACACAACATATATTTACTTATTATTGCACATTATAAATCATTGGCTTTGGCATCATTCACCAAAAAAGTAAACACGTTTTAGGTACGTTATTTAAAAGCCACGTCTCAAAAGTCATACACGTCAGCCTTCTTGTGACATTTTTATTTTCCTTAGCCAATGAGACATTTCCCCATTCCTCCTCTGTTAGTTTTCAGAAAACTAAAATAAAAAAAAAACACCACCGGGCAAGACAGAGGCACAAATAAGTGCTGTAAAAAATCAAATAAATAAACTTGGCTTTTTATTACTCCAGTATCAGGAACAATGCTTCTCGAATTATTTTTCTATAAATTATGGTTAATTAATGGAGATTGTTTTCCTTATATTTGTGCGTTTTCTCAGTTCATAAGTATTTGATAAAAATACAAATCACTACTAAAAATATGTGTTTTTGAAGAAGTATTTCCACAATTGGGAAAATATATTTTTCTTAGTTGGTTAAGCCATACACCAAACCATTGCTATGTTCACACATTTTTTAAATTAGAATTTTTAAGTATATAATAATCCTGTAGTAGCTACAGACATGATAGACTGTTCAGATTAGACAAATCAAGACATCAAGATATACTTAATTTATTTAACTATCCTCATGTAGAAGGACTTCTTTTTAAGTCATAAGGTCAGAATTCCTCAGTGAGAATGAGGAGTGAGCTGGTGAAACTTTAATTAATGAAGCACATTATACAATCTTTATTTAGATGAGAAAAAATCTGTGCTAATGTTTTTCACAGAAGTGAATGACATTTGTGAAGTGACAGTGTCTAATTTTGCCCAAGGATTTGCTGTAATTGACATTTCGAAGCTGACTTTTAATGCACAGTCTTAAATTGCTCTGAAAGCCTGTTATTCATCATTTGTATTCAGTGGCGAGAGTGCATGGTTTGTTTAAACCCATCAAAACAAATTCTCCGGAGAGCGTCTTGCTGGCATGTAATCAGATATTTTAAATTTGCCACGCGTCTGGATAAATGAATTAGGTACTTTAAAAAAGTGGCAAGGCAGTTAGGATGAGTCCATCCAGAAATCTGTTTTTACAGGACAAGTATATAAACAGAGGCCTATGCAACCTTTCTCCCTTGGAGCCTCAAACTCACATCACTCAAATATGTATGAAAACGTGCCCAAAACAAAGGATCTATGTACAACATCAAATCTTTTATTGTTAAAGAGCTTTAAATGTTACTCGGAATTCTAGGGTGAAAAACTACAGCATAAACTGACACATACTGTAAACAGCAATCCCTCCGAACCTAATTATGATGACTGCTTTCCAAGGAAGTATTGATGCATGGTTTTAGATTAAAAATAGATCATACATTACTTAATTATGTTGTGGCGGGTGTCTGTTATTGCAGAGTGAGGTATTAAAATGTGTATCAAATAATTGCTTTAAACTCACACTGCATTCCTAATGACTCTTGAACTGTTCCTTGTAGGGTATAAATGTGACTTTGCAGGGCTCCTGAGGTAAACAGTACAGAAATCCATAAACATCTTCTTTCAGGCACCATAGTGTGCCAAGAGAGAGTAATTTCTGTGTAAGGCACACATCTAGAGACAGGAAAAATACAGTTTTTTTGTGAATTCAAAGCCTTGTAGTTTGTAATCCCTTTAAGAGATTCTTGCAGTATCAAAACTGAGGGAATAATAACCGAATTTGATAATGGGTTCATCGCCTGCAAAATAGGCTCACCTTGGCACACACTTCAGAGCCAAGGGCTCATTTAACAAAGGGAACCCGTTCGCATTTTAAACCTGCATAGAAGTACAATTATGGTTTGTGGTACCTATAAGTAGTGTTGCTGCATTTCTTCCCAGTCAACCCTTTAACAAATGCATTAGGATCCCCAGGGGATTTCAGGACAGTACCTTTGTCTGGACCATGCCTGGTCTTTGGTCCCTCAAGTGTTCCAGGGTAGCTGCAATATCAATCTCTTTTGCACCTGCAAGAAACCACAAATTGGACTGAGTTCAAAGTACCAGTTAATCCAGCCTGCATCTGTCAATCTCCTGCTTACTCTGCTCCCTTTGGACCTGTGCGGCGATTGAAAATTATTACATTCACCCCCTCCACAGACTTTGGCAGGCAGCCGTAAATTGTATTTGGAGTCGGGAGTTTTTTTTAAAAAAGGGGAAATGATGTGTTTGTTTCACAGGAAGATGCAGACGTAATCCAAGACAAACGAGTGATGCATAAAAAATAAAATCAATGAACCAGGCTTTTCGTTGCTTTAGCTTCAGAAGCAATGCGCTGATCAGGGGATTCCCCCTTTTTTTGTGTAAAAGTCAGCGCCCTAGACATTGATGATATAAACAGGTTGAGCTCTTTCGGTCTTTGGGCAACCAGAGGTTTTTCAAATTCAAAGGCAAAGCCTTGCTGGAACTCCAGCTCTCCCCAGTATAGATTTGTTCAGATGGCAGTGTTCCCAGTAACAGAAGCAGTGCTCTTAGCCCGGTGGAATGAAAAGCTGGCATGAACCCATGCTCCCTACTTAATGAACACTGGTATAACCATAAAGAAGCCTGCTATCTGGGTCTTGAACAAATTGGGTCTCAACTCCATGATCTCTTTGGCTATAGATGCTGGTTTAGGAGCCAAGTAAATCAAAGGCATCATGTTCTTAAAAAAATAAAAAATAACAATCTTTAAAAAATACATTAAAAGACTTTTTCTATGCAGACTGATGCATTTTAACTTTTTAATGAGTTCCGTTTTTCCATGCAATCTTTATTTAAGCACCCCTCACACTTAAGACGCAGAACGTATAAATCATTTGTGAAGCAACTCATGTTGATGGCATCAATTAAAAAAAAAGAAAGAGAACATTACATAAACTGAAATAGACTTCTGATGCCATTATCAAACATTCAAAATCGCAGTTTTAATCTTACATTTCATTTTGTTTTCTGAAGCCTATGCTTTTGTTGGAAAATCACATTATCTAGTAATGTGAACACCATGTTTGAACAACGGCAGCTAAATTAAGCATGCTGTGATAAATTCATGCACTGGTCTGTTTGATTAATTTTTTTTCACCTTTAGACTGAATGACTTTAACAACCCAAGTGTTGTGGAGTTTCTAATAAACTAGACGTTGGAGGAGAACATAATGACTCATTTGAGATTCACTCGCAAAAAATCTTTTCAAGGAAATACAAGAGAAAACCCGAGTCCTTAAAGACCTTTTGAAAGAGGAAAGCAGAGGCTGGTAATGCAGCTGGGCTCAGTCTGAAAGTACTCTTCCACTTTCATGTTAAGAAGTGTTGGACTCCAAAGTTAGGGACACTCTACAAAAAAGGCCTTGGAAAAAAAAATGGCATTCTTGAGTAATTTACAATTCATTCTCCAAGCAAAAGGAAAGAGCGAGAACGATTTTGTGTCCAGGCTGCTGGCCCTTTGATCATGTTGATGAACACTGGAGCTGCAAACCTGGGCCTCAAACTTCTCAGGCCAGACAAAGAGGACCCAGGCCTAACAGGCTAGGCCGAGATTCCTGTCGGAACAAAACCTTTGGCTGCCTCACAGTGTGACAGCCTGGGAAAAGCCCCTCTCAGCAGGGTTAAGATGCCTACTTTGGCCTTTGATCTTTCATTAAGGCGAGAGCCGAAGCCCTGGTCAGGAGATTTCAAATAGTAGACATAATAGGCAAAAGGGGAACAGGTCAAGAACAAATAAATGGGTTACCCATCCAGAGGGGGCCCTTTCATTGTTTCTTGGGCTAGTTTCACATGACTTCTTTCGTATTATGCAACACTAAGCCCATACTTGGAATGGTATTTGACATTGCGTGGAACAATTGAGTCAATAAATGACATTTTTTACGTGATTCCTGCGCGATGAAGTCAAACTTCAGCTGTACAACTGGAACTACAGTTGTTGTTTTTAATTATTCCAAGATCAATTCGTACTCCTGATTTTGAAGTGAACTTTTTTCATATCCGCTGATTATCTCTGCCTCTATCTTCTCATTTAAAAAAAAAAAAACAAAAAAAAAACAGCTGTTACATGTTTTCAAAATCAGGAAATCAATGTAACACATTGAAAAAGGTAAGAGCTTTAAGATAGGGTAGTTTCCTTCCTTGCATTTACACATACATTGCCCGCACATTTACCAAACTTTTCTTAAAATATTATAATTTATTTATAGCTCTATTTTATATGAGAATGTTCAGTTAGGCATTAATGTCACTGCAAAGTAATGCATTTAAAATCTTTGTGGTGCTGAAGTATTCATGGTTTTATTTGTTAGTACAGGAAATACATTTCTTAGTGTTAATTTGTCTCCATATTTTTTCCACCCGTCATATTCATTGCACATTCACCTAAGGCTTCAGCCATCCTCTAATGCAGTGCAGGGCCTGCTTCAGAAAATTGAGGCTTTAGTGTTGCCATAGTAACATCTCCACACAAGCGTTAAGAGAAAGAAAAGCCTTTCGACTCCCACCTTTGGCCATCTTATTGAGAACCATGTCAATCAGAATATACGTCCCACTTCTTCCAGAACCATCACTGTAAATAATGAGAGAAAAGCGCCATTAGCATGGCTAAAAAAGACACAAGCCTTTTATTCCCCCCCAGTTTTGTTGCACACAAGAGTATGTTTTTGTCTTAAATGAAAACAAATTGCTCATTTAGAATTTCAATATTATTGCTTGTTGTCAGAGGTTTCATGAGCAAACACAATGGGCTTGTTTGGTTAGAGTTCACTCCTAGAAGCCCTTCGGTTGCAAACAGAAAGTGTGTCGATTCAATGGCTTCTTGAAAAACCAGAGCCAGCAGGGATGAGTCAGGATCCTTGTTTTGCTTTAGGTCATGTTTAGTTGACAATGATCCTGTACCTCCCTGCAGATCTAGAAGGAAAATTTGTAATCTGTGAATGCTACCATTTCTTTTCCAGGTAAAAGAGCTGACCTCCACTACTGATCTTATGGAAATGTCTTTACTAAATAGTGCTGCATGCGCCATGCAGATATATAAAATACTAAAATAAATAATATTTCCACTTATCTTCACATATGTAAAATTCACTTGTTTTAATGTATTTAATTTAAATCAATTAATGGTAGAATTTTAGGTTTGACTGTTTTCTAAGTATTTCTAAATACTTGGATTTATTCCAGTTTTCTGCTCTCTCCACACTGTCTCCTGTAGATGACGTATTTTTAATACGATACTACAACATTGTTAATTACATGAGTTTGTTTCAGGAAATGTGTTTCTGGAAATACAGAATTACAATTCTAATGAATGTTTCATTTTAAAATGAGGATGGTGCAAAGGGAACAACCAATAAACCTGAATAAAAATGAAACCAAAGTTATGTTTTAAATAAGAGAATTGTACTTTTTTGTTCAACCAACAGCCAACTACAATATGCTGACATCCAGAAGGATTTTTAAGTTTATGTTACGTTCTGACAGCCTACAACTGTAAGAAGGACAGGAAATGCAAGAAGCATTTATGAACCATGCTTTGCTAATCTCCCTGTGAATTGAGCTTTTGTGCCTCCAGGCATAAGGTAATATTCAATGTGAAGATGTCTCTCTAGGTGACAGCCGCTATGTCATACACAGGAATTCAATATCTTTGTTTCCCTATTGATTGTGATGCGGTATAATCAAAATGAACTTTCAAAGTTCCGTGATTTTTTATGCTTTGATTTCTCTCGAGTGCAAACAAAAAGCATAACAGCTATAAGCTTCCTTACTAGCTGTCTATGTACTTGCATTGCTCCTTGACAACACAGGCGTTGTTCCTGCAAATACCGTCCTCCAAGCTTTTTATCTGCTTTATCAGTGTTTAAACAGCCACCCAAAAAAAAGAAGAAAAAAACTGCAGTCTGGGCAAATATGCCCAATGATGTTATACGGCATCGCCTTCTACTACATATTTTATATGTACGATTGGAAAAGGAAAAGTGGTGGCAAGAATTTTTCCTACCTGTGTTGTCGTTTTCATTATAGATTAATTTAAGAACAAGTGATGGATAGCGAACCACTTAGTACAAGATTACAGTAACATCTGACATCCTGTTAAGATGTTTTTTTTTTCTCAGATGCCCTGAACTGTCCTGGGGTGCTTACAATACAGCCATCATATTATATGATATGACTTAAATGCCAAGTGCTGCATAGCATTGCGATTTCTGACCAGTATCTCTTCTGTAATCCTTGATTTTGTCTTAAGCTATCCTTGGCAGGCCAGTGTCCTTGGAAAACCAAACAACTGCCTGTTTTTGCTTTGCTTTATGCCCTCCCACCAGTTCCAAAGTCCTATCATTTTCTACAGATACAAGGGGTCACCTTTAAAAGGAAAAATGCCATAATGTACAGTATGTAGCCTTACCTTACTGTACACACATGTGTATACAGTATATAGAATTATATATAATAGGCCAAGCTACAAGACACCCATTTGTTTTAGTCTGCTCCAGTTTGTGCTTGGTCCTTTACTGTTCTCTAATGCCTTTGTCAATCCCACAAATCAAAAATGGTCATTATAATACTGTATGTGCATGGACATCACACATACTGTACAGTAGATGTCCAATCATTTCAATATATTTTATATACTGAAGAAGAGTGTGAGTAAAAACAACGACAGTCATAGAAGATAAAATACAACTGATCTTCTGATTACATTACACACTTTGCTTCTATGCCTTTCAGGAAATGCTCGTAGGTGCCTTGGTAAATACTTGCCTGCAGTGGACTATTATTGGACAAGAGCGGCCCCTGTAGCACTTGTTAACCTTTCTGCAACAAAACAGAAAAAAACATATCATAAACATTAAGGTACTGCTTAGGAAATACTCAACCATGACTTAATTAGATTAAATATGTTTAAATTCCATTCATTTTACAGAACAATAGGTCTCCGACACACACGATGGTCTAGAGCTTTTGTGTTGTAGTTAAATAAATATTAATTTATATATCACCGTATATAGATTAGGATGTTGCATTTTGGTGTACCGAACATGTATTTGAAGAGAAAAATAACATTTGTTAATTAGTTAATCTATATTTTAAATAAAAATGCATAATAAAGCACAAAATAAAATTAGTACACACATTAACTACTAAACATAATGTGCCTTCCTAACAAGAGTAAAAAATATTTATCCCTTCCAATACCATGTTTTTAAATGGTGAGGCAAAAGTCACAACCCTCAGTGCTTTAACCCATTAATTAAACAGATCACATGCCAGGAAAGGCTCAGCTGAAAGAATGAGTTTATAGATATTGCTATGGAAATCTGGGTTTAATATTTTTAAGTGTATTGTAAAAAAATAACATTGAGGAAAAAAGAGGGTTAAGTTTTCTCTTGAAATCCCGATTATAATAGAATAGTTTGTGTCAAGCAATTATTAAGCAAAAATAAATCACAGGGACATCAATCTAACTGAAGTCCTGAATCTTTTTTTAAATACTAACCATAATAATTTCAGATTATGAAAAAAATAGATATGAACACATAAATACCATCACCAAGATGATTTTCAAAATCTTTGTAACCTCTAATAATTTAAATGCATTTGCCATATGTGTATGATTACCAGGACAACTCAAATGTCCAAAAAGTACTACAGATGAAAATATTCATACCTTCTGCAATTAAAACAAAGAAACACATTGTAATTGTCTTAGTCTAGCTAATATTAAAAAAAATATTAACTACAAATAAGACACCTGAATCTGAAGTTCATCTTTCCTCAATAAATAACAGCATCACAAGCATACGTTAAACAGGCCGACTTTCACACCATGGGATATTGTGATCCTAACACATTACGTTTTTTAAGGAATTTAAAATGAAGAAAGAAAACTAACAACACAATAACAAAAGAAGTAATTGCAAGGGAAAGTAATCATTGATACAAACCAGCTTTTAGTTCATTTTAAACACAGTGAAAAAAAGGGGTTTCGTCATGCAAATTATTGGCAAGCAAAGGTCAAAGGTCGTTAGTGGCTGTAAAAAGGGGAGTTCCCACAAAAGTCCCTGCTGCAGAGTCACAGTTTCCAATGATCACTTTTGTGACTATGCAACTGGGCTCATATTACTAGCTGCAACATCACAAAAATGACACTGGCAACCGCTAATTAGCTGGCAAAAAAATAAGAGTATGTTCATTCGGAATGTGAGTCGTGTTAGTAAATACTGTGGCACACAGCGAGAAATTAGAGTGCAATTTATATTTTAAAAAGCCCTCACATGTAATACTAATTATCTTTTAGCTTTGTGATCTTTCTTTAAAGTGCAAATTTCCTCCCTCTAGGCTTAAGAAAATATTTAATTAGACATGTCAACGTGAGACGAACAAGCCTGTCTGGAACCATAGCGTTTCTTCTAACAGGAGGAAACGCAGAGTAAAAAATGTCAAATGGAACTAAGAGCTCAGGATTTTAAGATTTGTAAAAACTAGCTAGTGAGACAGTGCACTCTGTTTAATGCATTTTTTATGTTCAAGTTCAGCACTGCCGCAGCTTGAAAGTCATCAGACGGCCATCACAGGTATTGACATACTTTACAGTAGAAAACAGCAACTGGAAAACGTCAAAGTTAGTTTGCGTTATCAAGTATAAATTACAACTATATGCCACTTACTAATTTACCTGTATTGACTTTTCATTTGAGTAATTATGCCAGCATGAGTGGCTGCAAAATGTGTCAGTATGATTTTAAGAGCCTCTTCCCCTGCACCTCATTCACATACTGTACAGTATCTATTCCCCCACAAAAGCTTTCTGCCATTGCTTTAATCGCAACAGCACCAGGAAGACAGACAACCACTGAAACTCCTTAATTCAAGGTCTTGTATCTTGGTTCAGTGTTTCACAAAATTAATATATATTGCCTAGATATGTCTTTGGTTGCTTTTGGGCGTGGTCAACAAAATGTCTTCCTTACCAGCTACTTCATAAGAGATTGACAGGTGTCATACTGTTTTCCTTCACGGATGATTTCGTAAAGGGACATTTTGTTCCTAACTAGGCGATAATACAATTTCCTTCTTGTTGCATTTGAGCCGTAAAGCCCAGTTATCCAAAGAGCAGCGTGGAGCTGCTTCTTATGTCATTATGGAGCTTTGCATTTATTATAATATAAATGGATTTAAAAAAAACTTACAAACACACAAATATATGCCTTTTAAAAAGACAAAACAAGCAGACCAAAAGAAAAAAAAAAGCTGGCAGAGGAATCAATTTAGATTAAAATGGTTAAAACCAAGTCACGTTAATAACATGTGACAGACCCAACAGAGGTTTGATATGGGTGTACCTGCGGAAGTCCAGCAATGATCTGGTGGATTCTGGAACACTCTTGTTCATCCAGGTGAGGAAGTGGAACTGAGTCACGGTGCGCGTCTCATTCGTTTGCATGTTCTTCAAGTAGAAACTTCGCACTAAGAAGTCCTCACACCAAATGTGCTCTGATACCAGATTTACCTTCATCGGGAAAGAAGAAGCACAAGACATGGGTGTACAAAAAGCGCAAGCAAAAATGTTATGCCAGCAGAAATTCCAGACTTTGTTGGTCCACGCATATTTGCATTCAAAGAAATTCAATTTCAAATGATGGAGAGTATTTCTTTCTCTAAAAGGCTCGCAAACCTTTTAGGCACAACGGTCACATTGGCTCGTGTTAGCAAAAGAGGTAAGGTTTGTGGAAAACATTTTTCTGTATTACTGTTTTCAAAATTACATTTTCTCTCTATCCAGTGTAATTAATAATAGTATTTACAGCTGCTTAAAATCCTTACAGATCCCTAATGCTTTTGGTTAAATGAGGAGGGTAAATCAGAAGAGATGGTTTTCAGATTGTTTTTTACTTTTGATTTTGAAGTGGAATTCTGAGTTCAGCTCGCAAGAAAGATATAATCAATGGCACTACGTGAGCAGTAGTACTGTATTGCCTAGGTAAAATTCCAGCTTTTGGTATGGATTTATTTAAATAGATAAATCAGCTCCAAGCAAAATTACAGTAAGACACTGAATCTTTAAATAAAACTATAGACTTTGAACAGACAGATACCATTTATGACTTTGAGCCTTTTTTTTGGCAGTTCGCAAAACACATTAATTGACCCCCTGCAATCACTTGGTAACACTGCAGGGTATTTCTAAACAAAATTAGTGTAAAGAAAGCAAAACACATAGGTTCCCCAACCAAGTTTCCCCAAATAATAACGTATGTCACCTCTTAATTATTTGTGAATTACATCTGAATTAACTAAATAAGTACAGGTTTTATCACAACATGTAGTTCTGTTTTTTTTTTACCTCATAAATATGGTAAAGGTTTGAACCCTCATCTGGCCAATAGTGGTAGCACTGTTTGACTCCATTTTCCGTGAGGGGTGTCAGCATGACAATAACAACGCAGCCGTTTTCCCACACCATCTGCAGACAAAGAGACAAGTTATGGTCACAATGTGAATGCCTAATTACTGTGTGACATGTATAAATACTGCACTCAGACACACAATTAAAATTCACTCCAGTCAGAGGCAAATTTTGCCCTTCCTATTATATGGTTTTATCATGCAGCTGCTCTTAAAGCATCGACAAAAAAGGGAGACAGGAAACGCAATTTGTTCGAAACGTATCCCCTTTAAGAACATCCTCACAATATACGTTGTTTTGTACCTCGAAACAGAAAAGAGCAAATTTATCATCTCTTTCATCTTTTGCGGGCAAAACTGAATCCCTTTGTTCAGCTGCACTACCTTTCTTAAAAAAGAACAATATGAAATTTGCAATCAGGCAGATTATGAATGGACTGCTTTGTTAAAAGGCACATCTCGATTTTTTAATGCAGTGATACCAAAACATTTTTATTTCCATAATTTGCATTACCATTGCCTCGTCCCTAAATGATCATTTTAATTAGCAAGCCAACGTAGGTGGTGCAATTTTCATTGGCATTATACTCTATTCTGGGCCATTCTCATTATACCCCCTGTCTTTTGTACAGTTTGTACTTTATTCTTCCTTTGTCAAAGTATCACAAGAATTAGCTTTTAGGAATACATCTTCTCTTTATACTCCGTAAGACACTCTGGTGGTGTAGAAAAAAAACAATGCATCTTTTCTCTGGCTCTCAATATCTTTGGTGTATGGATTCTAAAAAGATCTTGTCTGTATCAGAAAATGCCCCCCATCCAACTTTTCTTCCTTTTTTCTAGCTTGACTACATTGGTTCATTTAATCTTATAACGATTTAATGTGCCTTTGGAAAGCTCAGAAGCCCTTTGAAGCCATTACAAAAATGAGGGAAAACACTGGTTTTATGAGAGCAATAAAATACAATGGTCTTGACTATAAACTAATCATGTAGCTCTCAATTTCAACCCAAGAGAAACATTACACAGCCTACTCATTTAGAGATAGAATGATGAGAAAGGAGGTGTGTCTGGTATTAAGAATGCAAGGAGTTTTCTAGCAGCTTATTTTTATGGCCTATCAGCATGAATAAAATGTAAATGACAAACATCCTAAAATGATTATTAATATTAATATTTTATTATGTTATGCTATATGTTATTGTTATTAATTTTAGCTGCCAACTTATTTAGATGCCTTAAGACAAAAAATCTACAAATTAAAATTTACAAACGGAGCTCTAGTGCAAAATAGCATGAAAGCCATAGTTGAATCATACAATTAATGTTTAACAGAAAAATAGAAATCAATGAAATAAGTTAACTTTGGCAACATTATTAGAAGTAAACTAGCAAATGAATAAAACAATATCTGGGGACCCTGGGGATAAGATGTTGTTAGTTCTTTAATATTATACTACTATAGAAACAGAATGAAAACTAATGTGAATATATATATATACAGTCTATATGCATCAGAATAAAAAAGCTCTAAAGGTTAATAATAGAAAAGGCTTTGAAGATGCATTTGTAAAGTATTGGCCTTTCTTCATCTTAACTCGGTTTTAGAAGCACGTTTAGCCCAGTGCTGATTGGCTTTTTCAATGAGCTAGGAAAAAAAAAAGCATGAGGAGAATTCAAGTAATCACGATGCAGGCCAAGTGAAAAGCCCAATGTGCTGAGAGACAGGAGGAGATTAAGGACACTCTTTCAAAAGTGCAGCAGCAGCCCAGTAGGGATTAGATTGTGAACAAATTTAAAGAGTGGCCTTGTCCCTGTTACATTGTTTGCGTGTTTTGCAAATTATTCTCCGAATCTAGTATGGTACCTTAGAAATGATACTGAGCTCAAGGCTAATGCATATTCCCGTTACATGAGCAATCTGTAGTCTAATGTCTAAAAAGCCTAGAGCAAACATGAGCTATCGCACTGTGAATAAAAGACCTTCAAAAACAGGGGGGGGGGGAGGATGGAAAAAAAAAATAGATTTTTGGCACATCATTTGAAAAAATTGTCCACAGAAACGTTTTAACAAATTCCTACGTGCTAAATTATGTGAAAGTAAACCTGTCTTATTTTTGATGTAGCATAGATATGACAATCAGTCAGTAGAGCAAAGAGGTCATCATTTTTTCATTTTTTTTTTCAAAATTAAGCCAGTATTTAAGGGGGTACATGCAACCTAAGATCATTTAAAGAAATAATAGAAGAACAAAATGTGGAACTTCAGAATTTCAGAATTATAGCCATAATTCAATCTGTTTTCCAAAACAGAGGCAGTAGAACAAAAGCCTTCAGGCACATCACATTACAAACTACATTAAAACAAGTCTTATTTTGTTTTATTAGAATATTTTAAATAGTACTGAAATAGAGGAAATGTTATTTCCTCTTCATATAAATTCATATGTATGTAGTAACATAAACAATTATTGAACAATTATTGAAATATGGTATGTTAATGACATTCAAATTTAGATAAATAAGGTGTGTACCGTTTTCATTTTTCTGTTATGTATGTTTTATTATTAAAGTTAAGTTAATATGAACTGTGAGTCAAATTCAGTGTGTATAACTTTACATTTTTGAGAATATATTTCTTCCTTTACAACTACAGAATTTGATCTTGTTTTAGAATGACTGATAGAACTGTACTGCATTTCTAAGAAAAATCTGAAGTCCAATGAATTAAAGTGCTATTATACAAGGCATGAACATTATTATTTCAGTCACAAATGTTGATTGCCGTGTATGAATGCTTTGACATTACATTTCAGTAAATACACATACTGTATATTTGTAAAAAACATAGATTAATTGATAACCATGATGCTTAAATAGGTTTCCAGCATAGATGACAAAACAACCACTGGCCTACATGTTCTTCTCCACATTTTAAAAAACAATTATTTGATTATTTTTATCATGAAGCAGTTCTGGGTGGTCTTACTTGAAAGGTACAATATGAAATAACATGATCATTTTCAGCTTATTCCCACCTACATTATGAACTTCAGATTACACATCATTTTGCACAAGCATTTTCAACTGTCGAAAATGTCTTATGAATGTACTCCTTTAAAATAAGAGCAAGCCTGAGTCAATTCAGTTTCTGATTCTGCTCTGACAAATCTTCATTTCCAAACAGGCAACTACTTCCAACGTCAGCTACAGTAACAGAAAGCAGCCATTCTAAATTGTGCAAGATGGTCACTTCAGTTTTAACAAGATGCAGGGAGTAGAATACTTGAACAAGATTCAGGTCTTAGGAACCTTCAGTTCCACATTAGATGGTAAAAAGAAATTATTGTGGCCACCTGACTTGCATAATTTTTACAAATGTAAACTGAATGAAGGCTTCACAAAATGTTTAAAGATATCATTTGCATGTGATGTTGCTGTCATTGACAAACTCAAGAACCAAAGTGAAGCACTCCTAAATAGAATATATAAAGTCTTGACATAAACTGAAATAAAACTTATCTATGATAAAACATGAAAGAACATGGTGTTTCATCTGAATAAAGACAAGTAAATAGAAGGCATCAAGACTCAAGTTCAAAGCTTTACAAGTACCACATCATTGTAAGGCTAAAGCAACTTCATTAAAGAAATGAGTAATCCGAATGCCATCAAAAGACTCCATTCCAATTAAATACAGACCTATATCTGTATTCACAGTACTTTGTAAAATGTACAGAATCTGGATAGATAAGGGAAGAACATTATTCCACCTAGTTAATTTACTGATGCTTTATTAAAATAACGCAATGCATACGAAGAAAAAATCTGTGAATATATGAATAAGATTTAGACAACTTCTTCCTCTATACAGTATGCCACATTATCTGGTACAAAAGGTATAGTTCGGTTGTACGAAAAGTTAATAATAACAAACATCTGTTAAAGGGATATATATATTAGAAAATTAGCATCTACTAATACTGGAAATGGGCTGTAGTACTGTAGCTACCAGTTAAAAATTAGCAACAATTAATTACTAACCATGATTTGCCTGGGCATTGTACTTCAGACCACAAAACATTTTAGACATGGAGAAGATTAGACAGGAAGAAATTACAGGAATAGAAAACAATGCAATATTTCATGGACTTAAATTATCATTGTACACTGGTGAGGCAGGACGTACCTGAGGGTTGGTGATGGTATTGCTATAGTTGAATAATTAATTACGGAATAATTAATTAAGGAATAATCATATGCATTTTATCATGCAAAGGAACAAGTAATAGGTTTATTCCATGCTGAAAAAAAGAAGAAAGAGAACACAACGTTTCGGCCGTGGAGCCTTCTTCAGGTGTGTCATGCATTTTATCATGACCATGTTGATTTGAGACTGTTTCATTTTATGATCATGACATTTTGTGTCACAGTTTCCATCCAATATATTACAATGAGAATTCCTTAAGAAAACATTCCAAAAATCAGAAAATGAAATACACACATAAAAGGAAATACATGTAATGCAGTCATTCTTAACAATTATCATTAGAAGCTAGCAGAGTAAAAGTTTAAAATTACACCATGACACCATGAGACTCTTCTTAACCTGAACTGCCATTTTTTGGTTACTGTAAGTCCACAGAAAAGAGACGATGTGAAAAATGAATTAAACATTAGCTTGTGAAATGACCAGCTTGTATCAGAAAAAATGTGAATGAAACTGCAAATGAAAATTCTATACAGGCAGAAACCTTAACCTACTTGCAATGACAGGATAATATAGCCTAGTGTTTACTGTTTTCCGGATACAGTCTACAGTATCATTAAATCTTAATTAAATCATTTTGCATGGGCCTTCATTGCAAGCTTTAAGTGAAGCTTCATATTTAAATAAAGAGATGTGCAGTATGAAGAAAAGTGCAGTACCAGCCGTTGCTAGTTTATGTAAATTATGCCATTTTTAAAGAACTCAGCAAAAAAACCCTGAAAAGGGATCATTTTCAGTATGGTTTTAATGTGAATGACAGTACTGTATGTGTACAAATGACACAATTACATAATCTGTTAGCCCACTTTTGGTATTTTTCAGCAAGCCCACCTCTTGGCTTAAGTTTATTTAATTGTCTTAAAATATTATTGACAGATTGCTACTGTACTATGAGTCACTCAATCACTTTAAACACATGGTCACTGCATTTATCTACACATATTTAATTAGTTTTTTAACACAAGTTTCATAGCTCCATGAAAAAAAAATAACTTTAGAATCCCGAAATGTGAAGGGACTTAATTTTAAAATATAGGCTGCTGTGTTTTATATGGTATAATACAGATGAGAGAGAATACAAGGTATTTTAATGGATTTATTCCTTTCTGTCTGCTAAAGAAGGAAAAAAGTTTTGGAAATTGTTTTTTGTATATATATATATTTACTGCCTGTATTTTTTATTCAAATACATTGAGAATAAGCAAGAAAATAAATTGTAATAACACATCCTCCAGTCCCTTTAGTGGGTTACTTCTGTCACACGCAATATATTATTCTACAGTACTACTGTATAGTAGAATACAGTACATTCAAGTGCTCTGTAGAGTCCTGTGTCAACCAGAATTTCTTAAACAACTGATTCACATTTTATATGTCTGGGAAGAGTGATTCTATTGTTGTCTTTTCTTTTCCACCTCAGATGGAAAAAATAACATTTGTGACAGAGTACACACATAAATGAATACAAATACTACAGGATTGACCTCAAATTAAAAAAAATCCAAACTGAATTAGGACTGTAGCATGAATTAAAAACATCTTCTGTGAATTTGCTAATGTATAAAAGAGATAACTCATGCAGATAAAGTAAAGACGCATGGGCAACAATTCACGTCCTTATACAATACATCCATTTTCTATTTTAAAAACGGTACACAAAATTTGAGTTTGGCATTTTTTGGGTTTGCAGAGAGCAGATGGTAGATTACAGTTTCTGACAGATAACAGGAATCAGAAGTATTTATTACTCTGCATCGTGCTAAAGTTATTGGTTACAGACTCCATGCAACTCTGCAATGGTATTTAAAGTCATTTCCCAAATGAAATTGTGGCTACAACTGTTTCATTGTGCTGTTATTATTGTACAATGTTGGGACTTCTGCTCGACAAATTAAAGGGGGAATTTTGATTGTTTAAAACATTGCTGTTACCTGAAATATGATTCAAGAATGGATTTGTAGCAAGGAGCCATATGTACATATATCACTTAGAAGACTTTAATTCATTGTCACAAGCATCCTTAGGATTCTTTCTTGTTAGAACTGACCAGACAAAGGACTATTTATATTCCATGGTTCTAATATGATTGATAGCACATTATACCATATGTATTGTGCATGTGTTCAACTTTCTAATGTCTGAATTAACCTTTCTGTATTGAGGGCTTAACTTGCAACACATAATGTACCTGCATGGCACTTTATATAAGATCACAGTTACCCTTATTTATAGTGTGCCTTACAAGAGCAGGTAAGGGGTCGTGTTTATATGTATTATTAAAGACTGGTATTAAATGATGTAATGATCTGTTTTGCGTTGCTCATGAAGGTGAACTGGGGGTTTCTTTACATAGTATCAGCTAAGAATGGCTGCAACAGAACTGAGTCCATGAGCAACTCTCAACTAGTTGAGTACAAGTCCATGAGAAGCTTGTCCTATGGCAGGTCGGAGGCCTCACAACACTGACCCATGGTACCATTGTGCACTTTGTTTAAAGGACAGGGGCATACAAAAGTCTTATCATCCAATAGAAAAGCAGCTCGCCCTGGGTCCGGGTTTGTGCAGAAATGGAATCTCTGGAGATTTTTTTTAATTAGTGGGTTTATTAATATAAGCTTTATGAACATAATGCTGTGCCAATAATACTCGGCCTTGAACATGAATCTGTACAGACAACTGAGAAGAAAACTGTTTTTTTTTCAGTGTCAGATTTGCTGCACCACAATCAAGGAAAAAACGAAAAGCCAGCAAGTTTTGCGGTATATCACTCAAGTTCAACTGCTTCTTCATTTTATTACATTTTTTATCTGTCTTTATAGAGAAGCCATTCTAATTTCTAGAGAAATTCTTTTGCCGTTATGCCTTACCTTTGTATTACACTATACTGTTTTCATATCAGCAAAGGCAATCTTTATCGTATTCTTAGTCTGAGAATTTGTATTTACAAAAGTTTAAAAATACCAAAGGTTTAACTGTTGTTTCCAGTATAATAAAACTATTAGAATCTCCATCCATTTAAATTCACGTATACTTCCAGCATCAACAGCAGAATATGTCAAATGCTTCAGATGCTTGATGTTATAAATTGAAAAAATGAAGATAAAATGATTATGAAAATTAATAATCATTACCTGCTGTGTATAACTCTTTTGTTCTTCCTTATTTTACAACCGTTTAATAAAAGTTTATTAATTTTATATTTTTTTATTTAAAATGTATACAAACTGAAAGTTGAGACATATACTGTAGTTTTTCACACTTGTGTAAATTATCATTTTTTTCTAAACATCAACAAAAAGTTTAAAAGGTGGAACTGATTACTTTTGAACCACTGGTTCGATAAAGGAACAATTTCCAAACACAGTACTTAAGCAAAAATAAAAAATGAACATAGCATGAAAAGTGTTTTGTATTTAGAGACAAATAGTTTTATTGGCATCTCACCATTAATTTTAATGCTCATTTAGCAATGGGGCAGTACATGTTTGATCATAAATGATTATTATTCAGCTTCACTGATAAAATGATATGTAAAAAATAATCTTTAATATGAAATTATAATTTATTTCAGAAATGTTGATGTTCACTTCAATGTTATGTTCACTACCTACAATTCTGAATAATTGTGCAATGGTAAATATTTTAAATAAAAAAAATGTCACATTTTCCATGCATTTTCTTTTACTTCTCTCAGCTTCTAAGAAAAATAAAGCCCATTGCTTACATTAGAAATAATTTGAAATAAGAAACACTGAGCAATGTTCTCTTTTCAGTTAGTTGTCAGAATTCATGACCTGATCACTGTGTTTGGATAATTCCAACACACTGGAAAAGCAATAATCCTCTTACAGGACATCCCCATACAGAGAAATCAGAATATGAGGACTAAGCTCCAATATGGATCTGCTAAATCCATTTACTCTATTCAAAAATTAATTGAGGTTTATAAAATGAATCTTCAGCAGGTGAAGATGAGAATAGACACCTAGTGTTTCATACACATACTGATTCTTCTGCTTGAACCATGTACTCAAATTTTAATTAATTGTTAATAATCAGGCATTCTGCTCTGTCTTAGCGGCTGTGGAAAAGAAGCAAGACCACACAGAAAAGAAAAAAAACATCCATAAAACAATGCATATATAAAAATAAAAGACTCTAAAATCATGTTACCAAATGTATTGAAATACAGGTTAAATATCACAGAAACATCCAGCAAACCTTAACCATATCTGTGTTTTGCCAAACAAATGAGAAAGCAAACAAACATAAAACTATATTACAACAATGTGCAGATTTATTCCTAATTTACAGTTTATGCTACACTGAAGTTCTGGTCAAACAGGAGCTCTCAAAGTCCTAACCTTCCAATAGTGCGCTTTATAAACATTCTAGACTATTTGTGATACACAGAACTACGTCATTGTGTGTATATATATATGATACTGACAAATGGCTTTTCAAGTAGATTTTCAGTGTGATGAGTTACTTGTTTAAAGAGGATTCCAAGAAAATAAAAATCAGTAGTTTAATCGAACAAGTGTGGATTCCCAGTACTTGAACTGCTGCACTTTGAGGAAGAATCTTAATTAGGGGATTTATTTTGTAAACATAACACGAAGGACAAAATTAATTCCGTTTATGAATAATAATTAGAGCTCCCTGTATGTTACCTGCCAAAAGTCTGCAACAGTAGCCGGCAGTGGACCTTGAGTGGCGATATAGGCAGGGTTCCGCGGGTCGTGGTCCATCTGGACAGAGATAAATGAAGAGAGATGGGGTTAGCAGATTGCTTTCACTGTGATTGATTACACAAGGTCTGAATAATCAGTGGCTAAATCAGTTAACTGCAATGTAAAGGCCTTGTTAAAGTCTGATAAGCTAGACCTTCACCCAGAATCAGACAAACAGCCTTCAGATCCTGTTTATGACATCAGCAAAGCATATGAGTTTAATGACCATAAGCAAGTCATTTCTAAAATCTTCAACATGCAGTCCAGTCAGTGGGTGTTATGTGTGTAGCTAGGAAGTTGTGAAAGAGAACAGGCAAAGGAAACTTCTGAGCAATACTGTTTTGCTTCCAACAAAGAAAATTCGATTTCCACTCTCCGTGTGTTTGTTGTTTTTCAGAGGGAGTCCACCTATTATCCTAATTTGTTTCATTTTGTATTGTGATTTTTAATTGGCTAAATCAACTCAAAATTCCAGCCTGCTGGAGAAGGCTGTAAAGGTGCAACTCAGAGAAAATGAAAATTAAAGCAGACTCTCTCTAGACAAAGTCAGTGTCAAAAGACAATCCTTCATGGGGCTTCACTAGAGATAACACTAAATGGTCAATCTTTATTTGTTATAGTACAGTCGAGCTAAGTTCTCCCCTTTCTTTCACGCATCAGTCAAGATTTTGTTTTCCTTTCACGCAACTGTACAGTAGATTCAAATATACTGTATGACAGGGAATGGAAGGATCTTGATTTGTCCACTTTCTCCATGCACATGGAAATGTGCCTTATAACATATTTATTATTTTGTAAAGAAAATGCTAATTTTGCCATCCATCACTGTTGTTGCCAAATAATCATATTTAACTGGTTTGTAAATAATCTGAATGAATCTACAGAATACTTAATCTACTAATTACAACTCCAGTTGTAAAATGCCAACTGTGAACAATTGAAAATGTATTTAATTTTCTATTTTTTTTAACAGTGATTTATTCACTCAGGGGCCTAGAACAAAATGAAACTCTTTTCAGCACTTGTGTTCCTGTTTCATTGCTGAGAAATTATTGTGCTCATTGAACTAAAATAGAATCCTTGAAATAACTGACTTGAAATACCGGTCTCACTGTGTAAGAAGTGTTTAAATAACAAGCACGTTTAGTGTATCTACCATTTTTTTGTGCAGAAATCCTTTTCACAGCACAATAAACCTTTGATTTGGCCAAGGCTTAAATCTGCTTATTAAAATACGGCATTCCCAGCATTGTAGTAGCTGTAAGATTACAAAATGGATTCGGTTTGGTAAGACATTTCACATTTTAGAATGTTTAGTATAACTTCCTTAAATGATCTCAATCTGATGATGATTTTTTTTAAAAAGTCTTAAAAACACTGGAAAGGAAATGTCTTCCAAACCCCCTCCACATGCAAAGGCAGTTTCTTCATAGGTGTTAATAATCTGAGGAATATTCTTTGATAAAAAGGAAAGCAATAACAGTGAGATAGAGAGAATGGTTTTGTGTCCATAAAGGTATAAAGAAAGTCATCATTAAACTCTTCATAAAAGCTTACTTTGAACTTTTTGTTTTGTAAGCTTGAATAAATGGAATGTACTTAATCAGTGCCTGATCAGTCTTATTTTTGAAAGCAACACAGTTGCTAGGAAAATGGAATGTGTATTGAATTCTGCTTGGGACAGAAGGGGTTATAAAATAGAAAAGATGAGGTCTGCAGTCTTATGGCATCCTGTGTCCGCCAAAAAACACCCTTTTCCCTCTTGTGCAAAACCATTCCTCAATATTTCTAACTAAAGTAAGCCTTGAAAATGAATTCTCATTGCCTATCATGCACATTCATTGATTAGCAAAAAGACTGCATGAAGAATTAATTGAGGGGTATCTCGGAGAATAAAAAAATCAATACCGTGATGGGCAATATTGATGGGTTAACAAGTTCTTCACGGACAACTGTCAATTACCTCTAAAAATCTTACTCCACTCTGTGAAGGGAGAATGGGTAACTTCAATCTCTGTAGATTACACCAGTGACAAGAAAATGATATTTTTAGTAGTGGACCTGGAAGCAGCAGATGGAACAGACAGACATCATTGTGTTTAGATTGTTTCTAAATGCGAAACAATCATTTGTTTGTAACCACTAAAACACTTTGGAACAGGTTGACTGTGGGCTCTAGGGTGCTTTGCAGTGCTTTTCCTGGTGAATTGCTGTTGTCAAGCAGATGACTGGAAAAAATGCCATAGACCACATACAAACATCAAATAGAGCACAAAGCAAAGCGTTTTCTTATAATAACCTGGCATTTCAGTCAAATATTACATAATAACTAGTGTATAGTAGTTTTATAGGACGTGGCACTAAATATTGAAATTTAAACAAACATGACAATGAAACCGCATGGGTCACACTGCTGTTGATCTAAAGCTATTATCTAATGTAGTATTTTGGCTATTATGTGAAGAGAAAAAAGCTTGTTCCTTGTTAAGAATTTAAATCATTGTCTTAGTATAATTAATAAAGAGTTTAGAATATCAATCACGTACTCTTCAAGCACACCAGGAGCGTTAAATGAAGGGAATCCATGCCTTTATTGGAAACTGAAAATGGAAAACGTTGAGGCTGTAAATTGAAAGCCCTGCCTCAAGAACCAGCAGCTGGTTGCAAGATTTCGAGGCAGTGAACCTGTGAAGGCTTGCCTTGGGTTAATGCAGTGCTCTATCATCCTGCCAGATTTACAAAAGCATGTGAAAATCTTACAATCATCAATCCATCTCCCCCTTTCTCTTCCTCCACACTATTGCAGCCAGGATGATGCTTGTGAACATGGTGTGCTCCATTGGTGAAAGTGTACCACAAATGACACAATAAGTGAGTGACATTCATACCTATTATGCCGTTAATGGATGCTGTTGCACAGAAAACATAATTATTGGATAGACCAATTTAGCTCAGAGCAATTATAGAAAAGACAGATAAATCCATGACTTGCCCACTTGAAATTGTCTTTAATAGTTTTCTCTTCCATTATGACTTGAAATAATAAAAATGCTTAAATTAACTGTGGCTTACACAGAAGATTAGACCTTTAACTACGATTTAATTACTTGTGTGGAAATTTACAGTACCACCATGTCAAATGTAAATGAAAGTAACTGCAGTATACATAAAGATCGACATGCACAGAGTATTTTCTATTTATCTTTTCTTTCTTTTAAAAAAAGTAGATTTGTGGTAATTATATTGCCACATATTTAGTGCTACAGATGAATGCATATCAATCCCTCTTCATGACAGTTTTTAAACCACATCATCCCATATCTTTCATATATAATCATCCCAATATCTACAGGCTGATGAACACAAGACATCTAACTTTAAGAAAAGAGTATTTATCGTTTTCTGTGCATGAAGATTCACATGAACATTGGACATGAACATTTACAATTGTATGTTCAGAGCTGATTTTACTAGTCACCCAAGAACTTATATCAAAATAAAATGTACTTTGTTCAATGTATTCACAACACGGTAACAAAGTTCAAGCTCAATGGATACTATAAAAATTCAACCAAAATTCAACCTTGCTTTTTAAAGAATTTACCCTTTATAAGAATAATATTTTATTTTGAAAAAATATTTTGGAAAAAAAGTATTAAAAAGAAACTAACGATATCTAAGAGGGAACGTTTTTCAGGTGTATTTTAATGTAGCAACAAAACCTTTAACAACATAATACTGTTTAAATTTTAATACATAGCACATTATGCAGGTTTGTAAGGTGTGGAGTTTGTTTAATCAACAAGAAAAAGAAATGAAAATAATGAATGTTAAGCTCTAATGTCTGCAGGATTTGTTTTAATGTAAGAGGCAAGGATGTGTGGTTAACTAAAATTAAATTGAGAATTTTTTCAGACACATCAACTGTAATAACAGTTTTGAATGCTCTATCCTTGATCTTGGATAGAGCAATTATAAAAAATATGAATAAAGAAAGTATTTAAAACCTGGTGCTGTATCTGTCTTTTACTTTATAGTAAGACAGTTGTGTGTCAAGGTTAAACAATTAATTCCTTCATCCTGTATACTGTAAAAATAAATATACCTTCATGTTAATAAAATATCAATTAATTATTTCATATTCAAAGAGGTGCTCCATTGCTTTGTAATGAATCTGTAATATCTGTATTTTTCACTTGTCACAATTTTCTAGCACAACCTAATTATAAATGTGAACTAGACTCAACTAGAATGAAACAAACTGCCACTGTGACCTCTGTGCCCTTAAAAATGTGACTTTTTACACTTCGAAGGGAAGAGTTAAGAAGCTGCCTCCGTCATGCATATTGCATCAGCCGTTTTGAGGGTGTAGGGCTTATGTAAAAAGGTTTATAGTTCAAGTTATCAGGTCTGCTGTTGCATTGCTGTATATTACCCAGTGCACGTTACTTAGCCTCCTTTCACTATGTCCTAAAATGCAGCTGTGCAATGGCTGATGCTTAGTTTGTCCTCTGGCTTCTCCACGTCACCTCTCAGACAAGAGTCTGGTAAATCATTACATTTAATATTGCAATTTGCATCTTGCATCAAGCCATATGATGTGCAGTCTAATCAGGGGTGTTTTATTCTTAAATTTGAGTAAGTACATTGTACAACGTTGCCTTTCCATTTGGCAAAAGCATAGTAGATCAAAACTGATGCTGATGGAGGAGTTATGCCATTTTGGTTTTTGAAATGAATTTTTTTTTTTGTTAAGCTGTAAAGTCTAAACCATTAGGGAAGCTCTGGTTTCTTTTCCATGCTGCCTTGTTTAAGTTTCGTGTTTGTTTGATTCTTCATTGTTTGAACTTCACCCTGATATGCTGGGCATACGATTTACTTAAGGAAAACAGTTACATGTTCATGACATATCTCAAATCTATATGCTCAATCTTCAGCAAGCTGAAGCACGAATGCAGCTGATGGGAGTTTGTGTCAATCTCCCAGTGAGGGGAAAGCTGAATCCTCACTAACGTTCATGACCCCACATTCCAAAGAAAAGATTATGCATTATTTACTTGAGGATGATTTGCCCTGAAATTTAATGAGGACTAAGTACAAACGTGACAGATGTAATTATCATAGTTTTTTTCTGCACAGCCAGGGTCTCCCTGTGCTGTAATTACCAGCTTTTTATCCAAGCGCCGGTAGCAAAGTTATTACAGCATTGTTTCTCTCTGGTCTCTGCTTGAAAGTGAAATTGAAACATTATTTGGTTGTGTTTATGCTGATGTTAAAACATAAGAAAAAGACAACTTTGGGATTCCTGCACTTCTCATGTTTTTTCTTGTATGTTTAACTGGGTCAACATTTTAGTTGTTGAAAGCCTTACATCAAGCCTCCCTTTAAAAATAACCTGGATAGTTCATTTTGAGAGAAGTGAAGTAAAAAACATCTTAAGGTTTTTTAAATGGAATCGCCTACTATTTTTCTGTTTTATGACCTCTTATTTAGAATTGCCAATTGTTAATTGGGACCTGGGCACATACTCCTTTGCTGAACAGCTAACTGATTGGTGGAGCAATGTGTCTCTCACGGGGAACACTGAAAACACACAAGTACCTGACAAGTGCTAAGAGAAATGGTTGCTTGGCAACAGGACATACAGCTGAGTCAAGCCTGTCAAAGCAAACTTCAACCAATTGTGCTCAACTATTGGGGAATCCTGGTCACAGTCATTCTACTGTCAACTGTACTGTAACGCTCAACAAAGTCTCCAAGTGAGTCCTTTACTATGATACATAAATTACAGTAAATTTTACAGGCAATTACAGACAATAGTTATGTCTCGCATTATCAGTAATTTTGAATTTGGCCTTATATTTCAAAATGCCTTCAGAGACCACAAAAGGTGAACAAGAAAATGTTGCTTTCCACAGCGACTTCTGCTGGGAGGTCAATTACAAAATGTCAGACTTTGTTTAGTTGCATTTAACTTCACAAAACAGTGCAAATCCACTTGTTCATCCTACTGTAAGTCTATGAACGTATTTGCAGCTGCTTCACCAGTCAAAATGCTCTAAATGTTGTGAAAAGGGAAAATAAATACATTATGTTTTGTGTGGTTACATACTTCAGACATTTCCAACCTTGGGTTATCAATTTTTGTGCTAAACATTGCAGTAGGAGAGCATTTAAAGGAGGTACCTTTTAAATACCTCCTTTAAATATTCCATGAAAAAAATATTTCATGGAATAATTAACATCCTCAATTAAGCTCAGGATTTGTTTAATTTGTTATTCCAGAATGATTTGGAATGGAAAATTTAAAGACTCCACACAAGATACAAATAGCTTGTATCTTGACCAGGAGAGCGACTGGAACCAGTTGCCACTGATGTCTTGTACCTCGCCTGCCGGAGATACCCAGCATTCTCCCAGGAGGCGCAGCGGGATACGGCTCTCCTGGCGTTTCTCAAGGCCCTCTCACCCGGGGAGCTGCGGCACCATGTACTGCTGGACACTACGGCCTCGCTTGAGTAGGCCTCGGCCCTTGCTACGCAGGCTGAGGTGTGTCTGGGGGGGGGCTGGCAGCTCCAGCAGATGGAGTACGCCTTGCCGGCTGGACCGGCCTACGAGTGGGACCAGTGGCAGCAGATGCGGCGAGTGCACAGCTTTGCCCGGACCCACCTGACTCAAGCGGGGATCTAGCAAAAGCGGCACTACAATGTGCTCTGTAGGGCACATTGGCCTTAGTCCTAAACTGGCACCGTCACGGGAGGGGCCTGGCGAAGTCCTAGGGGTAGTGGGCGAGGTTTGCTACTGGGTCTGGTTGCGAAAGTGGGGGAGAGTGGTGGTCCTACACTGAGACCGCCTGGCACCCTACCGGGTCTGGGAGGAGGAGCCAAGTAGGGAGGCTCCGGAGTAGCCGGGGCTGTAGCCGGCCGACAATGGGGCGTCCGCGGATCGCCAGCTGCCACCGCGGCACAGCGGCCGCTTACGCAGGGTTTCGACAGCCATTAGCTGACTACGAGTACAGCCTGAGGGGGTCGGTTGACATCGGCAAGACGCCAGATGGTTCAGGTGGGGGCAGTGTAGCGCCCTCGCCCGGTGTTGTGGAGGAAGCGCACCTAGTCGCTGAGGGTACCGCAAAGCAGGCTGGGAGTTGTAGTGGAGTCCGGGGGTCTGTAGGACGACCAGCAACTGACCCTACTCATGTAAATTGACCTGTTAGTTAAAGTGTTCTCTGAAGCTTAGTGGCACATGAGTTAAGTGTGTAGAGTCTTTTAAAGAGTTACCACCCTAAACCTGTGTACCTGTTCTGTTTATCCGCTAATGTGTGTATAAATCCTGTAGTTGGTGTTCTTGTGAAAAAAAAAGAATAAAAGAAGGTGCTTGTGTGCTCTGTCTTCTCGTGTCCTTTCCTGAATGAACTCATAGTCGTTACAATACTATAGTGGCAATAAGGTGAACAGCTCTGATGTAGTGTTTGTTGTGTTGGCATGGATACTGTTTATATGAAAAAGATATACAAACGGCACTGAATAATGAAATCAGCACATCTATAAAAGCAAAAAGTCATACAATGATTAAAGCTAAGGGTATTCAAGTTAAATTAAAAAAATAGTTAAAATGATTGTAGCCATAGAATAGTTCATCATAGACTGAAATGTTGCTTTGGTTTATACTTTTCTATTGTAACTATCTTTTATAATAAGTACTGTACATTGTACAGTACATTATACAATGTAGAAATTCCATGGCATATTTGTAAATAATTATTTCACCCACAGTATCATCCTGAGAATGTAAATGTTTGTCAGACATTAACAGTTGCTACTGTAAAATTATTTACAGTAGGTTTAAGGTATTTCAATGTAGAAAAAATGTCATTGTTTTTTTAGTATATAGCATGTATGCATTAGGGTGCCACCATTCACTGCTTACACATGAGAGCACCCATACTAAAACATTTTTTCTTAATAGTTTCATTGGTGAAAACTTAATCACATTTCATTTAATTCAATTCAAATACAAATGATTGAATTTTAGATTAAATATCCCTGATGCATCTTCACAAAGTAATTGTGAAGGAAATCACAGAAGAATCCGTGTTAATGAATTTCGTGACTCCCACTGCTCTTTGAATACTGAACTCGAGTTTTATAAAATGTTTTTTCATCATCTTTGCAAAACAGCACAGAAAGGAAATATGTGGCAAACCAAAAATTAAAAGCTAAACACAGAAGGATCTTCTTTACATGAAAGAACTGTTGCCATAGTGTTGTATCAAATCTCAGGCCTTTGGTGAGATTTTTGTATTTGAAATGCATAGTTTTTCTGTTCTTTTAATGGAAGCCCTTTCTCACTGCCTCAGGGGAAATCATAAACTGCATTTATTTTGTTTCACTTTAAAAACCCCAGCATTTTCCACCCAACGTGCTTAACAGCTCAAGCCATGATACATATAAAATGCCCCCCTAAAAAAACACTCTATATAGGACACTTTGTAAAAAAGTGTAATCAGAAGTATCTCAGCACTGATATATGTATGAGTGGGTAGAAGTATATACATCCAAAGAAAGCAATCAATTGAAGAGAGGCTCCTGTACACTGCTCAAGGTCATTCTGAATTATCAGCTTCTTCACAGCAATTCTCCAATGGTTCAATATCTAGTTTTCTGATATTAAAAAATGGAATATTAAAGATAAACTACAGACTTATGAAAAAAATGTATGATATAGCATTGTAAATTACCCCAAAACACCTAGTATAAGAAAAAAAAATCAAAACGTACACGGTGAAACAGCATTTGAATTAATATTTTTAAAACCCCGGACGACATAAATTACTTTGTTGACCAATACCTCCTTTTCAGACTATGTACCTTGAGAAATAAAAGCATTTAGTATGCAGACAGATACTCACAATTGGGCTGGCATTGATGTAATCTGAATTGCCATGGTTATTTTCAACCTTCAAGGTTATTCTCGAGTGATCATCTGTAATATAAAAGCATAATTTACTGTCTCATCTCTCTTCATGCTCACACACATTGTTTTTTTTCTAATTTTATATAGATATATCTGTGCATCTTTTCAGATGTATCTATTAAACAAAGAAACCTTATTTATACGTTCTGTGAGATCATATAAAACTGCTTCTGAGTCAGAAAAGAAAATTGTCAATCTAACAGCACATTATTCGGTGCCCTCATAACCTGTTTTTATTTAAGATCTGCCTTGGTTTGTCATAGCCTTGAAGTTAGCCGGGAGACATGCAAACCAAAGGAATTAGACTCCGTGCAATGGTAATGAAAAAAACAACAACAAAGTCAATACAATTTGGTCACAACAAAAAAAATACATTTTTTTTGCACATTCTAGCTAACTAAAAAGATCACTTTTAAAATATTATAAACGACCACTGCCGTCTCTGTGTTTATTCCATCAATACCTTCCAATTTCTGTAAGATGTCTTTCTCTAAAACTCTAAGATGTCTTTGTGGCTGCTTGCTGCCACCAAAGTTCGGGAAGAAGTACAATTGTTTTATTTAGAACCTAATTCTCTTTACCTGGCACCACTAAAAAGTGTCAAGAATGAGACGGAGAAATGACTCAGAGGGAAAAAAGAAGCATCTACATGTGGGCAAACTGCCAATCTTATTCATTTCCTGTGGAATGGGTAGTGTGCCACAAGTTGGAAAAAAAAGGACCAAAGACTGTTCATTAGATCCTACACTGAAAGAAAACAAAACAAAAAAACAAATATATTGGAGGATTCCCATAAACTCACACACATACATAAAGGCGTAAGTATATAACCCATGGTCAATATGACTTTGCCATGTTATGTACTTATGTATTTATTTTTTTAATTCTTATGGTAGAAGGCAGTAAAACATCAAGAAGCAATTATGCACAATACAGTATGTTCCCAGATACTCATGTCCTTGTTTCCCGTCCACTTTAAATTATGGGAAGCATCTGTACTGACATTCCATAAGGAAGGTGAAACTAAACTTTTACGTAATTGAAATGTTTAAAGATACTATCTACGTAGACATAAACAAAAAGCAGCACGACCATCTGTAACAGAGGAATTCTTTCTTTTCCTGGAATTGTTTGTTGTCTATAAGGTTTGCCTGTAGATGGTAGTGGAGTCTCTAAGTGATTGGACCTGATAAACTCTCCGGACTGAGGGAGAAGCAAAAACTGTGTCTCTAAGCCAAGTGTTAAGACACCATCAACTCCAGTGGTTCAGAAAATTCCAGGTAGCATTGATTTTACTTGAACAGTGTTGGAGGTCTGACCTGCTCTGAACGTCTGTGGGCTTAGTGCTTTCAAACACTTGGTTGAGTGAGGTATCATTATAGCATCATCATAAAAACAATTTTTAAATAAAAATTCCTAGTATGTTTTTTCTATAGATATTGAGATTTACCGAGTTTGTCACCTAAAGAATATTGTACTGTAATTGTTCTCTACTTTCACTGTGTGGCAAGTGTGACACTTTTGAAAGTTAAATAAATCATTGAAATATTACTTCTTTCTTGTCGTGGATGTTCCAATAAAAATGAATTCTGGGAAAAGGCCCGTAGAATATTTAAACTTTCAGTCTTGCCTTAGAACACAACATTCACAGACCTTAATTACTAATCATGTCTAGTCCAGAGACAGTATTGCTCTTACATCATAAATATCTGTGTTACTAACATAAAGGCTTCTAGAAAAGGTAGGAATCTTGTTCTCAGCTCTTGTAAAGTTTTTTGAACTTCCAACATTTACTGAATGGCAAAAGATTCTGTGAGATTCATGGCAACCTATTAAATGAAAGCCTTTGATGTACTGTACTTACAAACAACCACAGCACTGCAACGGTTCTTCTTAGAGTTCTCCTCTCTTTGTGCGATGCTGGTGGCATTAGGTTCTGCTTGATAGGCACAGAGAGCCTCCCATTCTTTTTCCAGACGATTCTTGTTTTTCAAGTGGTCCTCCATGTAAGACTGAAAATGAAGCCAAGAAGTAAAGTTGTAACGGTATTTGTTAAAAAAAAGCAAATATATACAGTATAAACAGTATCTATCTTTGGAAGACAATGTGTACTAACAGTGAGACAGCCTGTTACATAAGCAAAAACAGTCATTAAAATGAAGTAACATGACAGGGCCACATTCATGAAGTGTTTTCTGCTATGCTAAGCTGACAGTTCTTTTTTGTAATAAAATAAACATTTTTTCCACCCTAGACCAAAATTGTGTTTTAGAAGTCCATTGGGGAATCTTAAACTATCATTGTCAACGATTACTGGAGTGCCTTGAAACTTCAAAGAGCTGTTTTCTTCTTAGAGAGAGGAAAAAAAAGCATAAATGTAAAACAAATGCAATTGTTTTATGAATTTGGCTCAAGATCCAGGAACACACAGAAATCTAGAATTGTGAAAGCCAAGAACTGTTAGGTGCGAAAGTTATAAAACCGTTTTGTCTTCAGAACTGTTATGTTTGACCATTAAGGGTCAAAAAAATGAAAGCAGAGTTTAGAACAGAACAATTAACCCCAAGTGAGTCATAATCTTTATAGTAGATGCTCTTCTAAATTTTCCATTCAGCCATGTTTCCTCTTATTGTTCAGGTGATACTTTAAAGCCCATTTATGCTTTCAAATAGAAGCTGAATATGTCATAATAATACATTTAGAAGAGTAAAAAAATAGAGGTTACATTTAAATCAACTTAAATGTCTTTAGATGTTTCTAATAAATCGCAAACAAACTGGCAAATAAGTGAATAAATAACCCACAAAGTTATTTTAGCATTAGCTGCTTTTAAGATCCCATAGCAGGCTGTAAACACACATACTGCAGGACTGATGATTACAGGTGGCTACGTATTTATAGAACACAAGGCATGAGCACCTGCTTGCATTCAATTAAAAATAATTTAACTTAAATTATTTGAAAATAATCCACTCTTTTACATATAACATCTTAGGTTAAGGGTTATGGGTTGACTGCAAATAAACCGATGAAAACTGCATTTTGCAAATTAAACATTGTGATGAGCTCAAATGCTGTTACTTCGGAGAATAGTGTTGACAAAAACAATGACAGCATGTCTCTAAGGATTTGGTGAAAGCAGTTGTCTGGTCTTAAAAGTTTAGTGATTTGAAAGCCTGTATTAATAAAAGATGCAGAAGTTAAACGACTACATTACAAGAGATTTATATATTACTTTAAAAAAAATACTTTTCAGCCAGCCCTGTTCCCCAACAAATTTACTGAAGATGTGGATTGTTATTCCGAGGGGGAATCCAAATCTAAGTTTTTTTTACTAGAATGTCCCAAACATTCCACTTAGTGAAATCTCAAAAGCCCACCTGTCTACAAAATGGAATGCCAATCTCTTGTCAACTGGCCGATTCATGTCTTCAAGCCACAGGGAATCAGAAACGTTTATCCTTTCTGCTTCTCCACAATGTAGATGTCTGGCAGGGGGGAGCCCCACAATTGTATGTAATTAAGAGTCCTGAAAGGTCTTTTTCCATTTGAAATACTTCAGGGTGATTCAATCACTCCATTTACTGCTTGCAGAACTGCTGATAAGATTGTCTGTTTTTAAGCCAGTGCTCTGAGACACTGAAATTGAATTCACCAGAGATAGAAGAAAAAAGCAGCTCAGCTGATACTGGGGGGCTGGCCTTAGGAAACTCAGAACTGAAGGTTTTAGCAAAGGGTCCTTATAGGTATGTTTCTGGTTTAGCACCCAGTGAGTCTGGAATTTTACAAAATATTCTGTAAAGAGCAGCCCATGCCTCAGATGTTTAACATTGTACAAGAATAATAGCAAGTATAGAATACAGAATACAAGACAATAATCTCAATGATTCACCAAATGCCCCCTTTTCAACAATTCAGCATTGCTGAATAAAGCCAAGTCTATGTAATTATCCACACAGCGATATATAGTTATAGTATAACTTTAAGCAAAGCACATTATTTTATTATGATATTGCACTGATAATAGTTTATTCCTTCATAATGCACTATAGAAACTATTGCATTAATTTAGATTTTATTTATTACGCTAAGCAACGAAAAGTCATGACAATGCATACTATTCCATATTTCATTGCTCCTATTTGTATATAATTAAGTGCATATTGGTACTGTATATAATTAAATGTATCTAGAATATAAAAAGCTGGCTAAAAATAAGCAAAACTAAAACAAAACTATGAATGTACATCTAGAAACAACACCTGGAAACAATTTTAGTTTTAAAAGGAAGAAATCAAGTTTGGTATCATAAGAACAATTGGTATCTGCTTAATCACACATATTATTTGATAATAAAAGCCTTAGTGAAATATTCAGTGTGCAGGGATGAAGAGGGAAGAGTAAGGAAGATTGTGATAAAATCCTGGGTTAGGCTTACAGTTGTATCCGTTAGTACAGTATTTTACTCAGATTGTTACAATTAAATACCTGACTTTATGAAAGTCTTTAAATTAAAGCATAAGCTGTATTAATCAACATAATGAAAAGGATTAAAAACTAAGTGCGGTAACAAAAATAAACAAGACATATATCACTTTCAGTGTGTTTTTTGGGCTGAGATTAAGAACTGCACTACAAGGGAATATGTTTTGATCATTGCACTGAATCTCTTACCCACCAAAGCACGTATATTTAAGTTAAATTAAAATTAAAAATCAGTCAAAATGATTATGTAAAAATTGTATCCTGGTGATTTTAAGTAGTATTTAAAACTACTCAGTCATACATCAGAAATTGTACACAAAATAAAAATTAAAGAGGTCATTATTTCTTTCCATTTATGTGAGTATAATGTGGAAGGTTTAGCGGTATTAAAATAAAGGATAATTTATTTAAATGTACTGCTCCCTATTAATTACAACAAATAATACATTTCATTTGATATTTAGCTGTGATTCTCACAAATACCAGCAAATTCGTTAGTTGTAGAAAATGGATTGATCATTTATTTAGTTGGTGAGTTACTGTAGCATTAAAATCACTGCCTTATGTCACATTTTCAATCTAAAAATAATTTATTTAATTAAACACATTACTAACATTTTGCAGAAGCATTTTATTTTAATTATTAAAAATAACAAGAATTATAATTACAGAATCACCTGTTCAACTATCCATCCGAAATTTCACGTTTGCTATATTCTGCTGTATTAAAAAAGTGCAATGACATTTCAACAGAAGAAATGTCTTGATGTACTAAAAAGTGCTGGTCTTGGGATCTATAAATTGTTTCTGATTCAATCATTTTTTTTAGATATGAAATGATAGATGCTTCAACGCACAAAAAGCCGACATCTGCTTAAGAATTGAATGTCTTTTTAAATTAGCCCGTGTTCAGGAAAAGTTGCTATAAGTTGATCATAAGTTTGGTTGCTGCAAGTAAAACTTGAAATTAGCTCTAGAAATAAAATCCATTGATAATGCCCAAAGTGCATATAGTATACTATAAACCACAATACTGTATATCACCAGCATTCAGCACTAGATTTAATCTTAGACTTAATCTGTAAAAGCTCCAATTTATTTTCTCTTAGAAATGTGGAATTGCTAGTTATTTTTTACACACCCCAAAACTTGAATTGCTTTTGTTTAGACTCTGTTCCTGCAGCAGCTCCCACAACTGCTTGGGAGAGGATGACACATGCGGACATGCGCCTCTGACACAACCACCTGCAGAGACATTTGTTATGTGATATGCTGCAAGCTGTACATTGCCTGACAGGAGAGGTACTGCCAATTGGAAAAGCGGCATATCTCTCACTGACCCCCACAGCAAGCAGGCGTTTTGGAAGCAGACAGCCATGGCTGACTAATCACCCTGCAACTCACAACTGGCAACCCACTGAAGCTAAGCAGGGTAAGTGAGCCTGGTGAGTACCTGGATGGGAGACCTCCTGGGGAAAACTAAGGTTGCTGCTGGAAGAGGTGTTAGTGGGGCCAGCAGGGTGTGCTCACCCTGTGGTCTATGTGGGTCCTAATGCCCCAGTATAGTGACGGGGACACTATACTGTAAACAGGCGCCGTCCTTCGGATGAGACGTAAAACCGAGGTCCTGACTCTGTGGTCATTAAAAATCCCAGGGCGTTTCTTGAAAAGAGTAAGGGTGTAACCTCGGAGCCCTGGCCAAATTTCCCATTTGCCCTTACCAATCATGGCCTCCTAATAATCCCCATCTCTGAACTGGCTTCATCGCTCAGTTCTCCTCCCCACTGATAGCTGGTGTGTGGGGAGCGTTCTGGCGCACTATGGCTGCCGTCGCATCATCCAGGTGGGGCTGCACATTGGTGGTGGTGGAGGGGAATCCTCATTACCTGTAAAGCGCTTTGAGTGGAGTGTCCAGAAAAGTGCTATATAAGTGTAAGCAATTATTATTATTAATTATAATCCCAGCCTTACATCAGCAGACCATACCCAGTGTCCCACACCACCTCTACAGGAATCAAGGTCAAAGTTAGCTAGAGACAGGACCCAGGATTGAACTCTGCTGTCTGGGCTATAGTGCTCTAGTTGCAATCCAAGAGTGCACCTTTACTGTATGAGCTCCTTGAGATCCTAAGAACCAGCATTCTTTTAAGCTGTTTAATTATCTAATGTGGACTGAAGATTAATGTGATCTACCTCGTTCACTAAAAACTTAAATATGGTGCATTCCTTCATTCAATCCGATTGTTTGTGAAACATACAACTCAAGGCAAATCACTGAATTTGTAGGTATGCTAAACAAAATGAGGTTCTGTATATACATGATGCACCCCATAGTCAGGTCTTTCTACATTACATTTAAAAGAAACCATTATAAAAATATTCAAACCAACAGTCTGATAAGATACAAGGGCACTTCAGATTAAAGAACAAACAAGTTTATGTTAAATATTTAGTCCAGTATACCTTAATAAAAAGGCAATTCAAAAGTAATGTACATGTCCAATTTGGAAGCCAGCTTGTGTGTGTA